CTGATATGGATGCTTGAAACTGAGCTCAGGTTCTTTGAAATAACAGTTAATACTCCTAACCATCCAATTTAGTCACTGTTCTGTTCTATTGCTGTGAATCAACACCATGACCACTAAAACTCTTATGAAAGAAAGTTGCGTTACATTCATTTATGCTGTGGAATATTTGTTTAATGATGCAAAGATGTGTTGCATTCTTTTATGTTGTGTTCATTTAACTCTGTGAAGCTGTGTTACTTTGCCTGCCTAAAACACCTGATTGGTCTAATAAAGAACTGGCCAATAGCAAGTCAGGAGAGGGATGGGTGGGGCTGCCAGGCAGAGGGAATAAATAGAAGGAAAGAACAAGAAGAGATGGAGTGAGAAAAGGAGGAGAGGCGGATGCCAGGGGCCAGGCACACAGCCACACAGCCAGACATGGAATAAGAAGGAAAGAAAAGTGATATAAAAATAAAAAAAGATAAAAGCCCAGAGGCAAAAGGTAGATGGGATAATTAAAGAAAAGCTGGCTAGAAATAAAGCCAGGAAGTTGTAAGTCAGAATAAGTTTCTGTGTATTTATCTGGGAGCTGGGTGGTGGGTCCCTAAAGAGAAAACAAAACAAACAAAACAAAACAAAACCAACTACAGAAAGTAATTAATTGCAGCTTGATCACAGTTTCAGAAGCTTAGTCCATTGTCATCACGGTGGGAAGCATGACCACACACAGGCAGACAGGATGCTGGAGAAGGAGCTGAGAGTTCTAAATCCAGCTCCATAAGAAGAGAGAGAGCCACTAGGCCTGGCTTGGGCTTTTGAAACCTCAGTGTCCACCCCCAGACACACACTTCCTCCAACAGGGCCACACCTCCCAATCCTTTCAAACAGTGCCACTCCCTGGTGACCACGTGTTTAAACCCATGAGCCTATGGGGGCCATTCTCATTCACACCACCATCCCGTTTCTCCAGGCCCTCTCTTTTTTCTTTTCAATAGAAAAGTCTTATTCAGAGGCAAGGTGAAAATACAGAGGATATACCCTGCAAGGAAGGATTGGGCTGCAAGCATCTGAAGAGACCATTGTTTGTGTTTTGTGATAGGGTTTTGTGTAACCCAGAGCAGCCTAGAACTGCCTCTGTGCCTGAGGCTGCTGAACTCCTGATTCTCCTGCCTTCTCTTTCCAAATGCCAGGATCAACAGGCAAGCACCACCACATTCCTTTACCCCATTGTCTAGTGAACCAAAACTTTTGTTCCACTGGGCGGTGGTGGAGCACACCTTTAATCCCAGCACTCAGGATGTAGAGCCTGGTGGATCTCTGAGTTCGAGGCCAGCCTTGGCTACAGAGTAGTTCCAGGACAGGCACCAAAACTACACAGAGAAACCCTGTCTCGAAAAACAAACAAAGTTTTTTTTCCCAAAACTCAAAGTATCTTTTGTCAAGGTTACTAATACCTGCCCAGCAGTGGTGGCGCATGCCTTTAATCCCAGCACTCAGGAGGCAGAGACAGGCAGATCTCTGTGAGTTCGAGGCCAGCCTGGGGTACAGAGCGAGATCCAGGACAGCCAGGGCTATAGGGAAATTCTGTTGTGGAATATTATTTTAAGATTTGTTACATTTGTTTATGCCGTGGAACATTTGTTTAATAATGCAAAGACGTGTTATTGGTTAAGCGGTGGTGCTTGTGGCTGGTCGCTGCCTGTGGCAGCCAGGCCCACAGAAGAGTCACGAGCTATGGTTACCTTTCTACAGCTTTATTGGGGGGGGGGAG